GGGCAGGTGGGAAGGGAGGGGCCCCGTGCAGGCAGGAGGGGCCCGCGGGCAAGGGGCACCGGGTCAGGGTCGTGGGCAAACAGCCCTCTCTGCCTGACCTCGGTTGGCGCCTCCGACTGTCTGGCAGATGGTGGAGTACAAACGGGCCACGCTTCAGGATGAAGACGCACCCGAGACCCCCGTGGAGGGCGGGGCCTCCCCGGACGCCGTGGAGGTGGGCAAAGGGGTTTCCCCTTTCTCACCAGGCCCCAGCCCTGGCATGACGCCTGGCACAACCAGGAGCTCTGGGCTGTCCTGGAGGGTCACCCACCCCCGTCTCCGCTCCATCTCTGGCCTCTGCGCTGGGACTATGGTGAGGCGATTCTAAGCCATGACGTTGCACAAAGGCTCCGGGCTCCACTGGCCTGTCTCACTGCCCCGAGCCCAAAGTTAACCAACCCTGTTAGCGTCTCTGCTCCGCGGCCCTGGAAACTGCCTGTGCTTTCACCCTCTGGAGATCTGTGATCCCTGCCCTGCAGCTCAGTGGCTCTCTGTCCCCCTGTGTTCCCCAGGTGGGGTTCCGGAAGGGGTCAAGACCACTCCTAGGCTCGCACACACAGCTGGAGCTGGTCTTGGCAGGTGTCTCGCTACTGCTGGCTGCGCTGCTTCTGGGCTGCTTGGTGGCCCTGGGGGTCCAGTACCACAGAGGTAGGTGGACCCACTGGTGTCATCAGCCCTTATAGCTGTGGGGCCTTTAGGATTTTCTCCAGCTGGGGCTAGCCTTCCCTATAGAAGAGCTTTTGGCTTTTCTTTCTCTTCCCAACTTTCCTGCCAGCATGATCCTTCCAAAGAGTTTGTACCTCCCAGATCCACTGACAGCCTCTGCCCTCTGGCCATGTCCCCTGCCACAGACCCATCTCGCAGCACCTGCCTCACAGAGGCCTGCATTCGAGTGGCTGGAAAGATCCTGGAGTCGCTGGACCGAGGGGTGAGCCCCTGTGAGGACTTTTACCAGTTTTCCTGTGGGGGCTGGATTCGGAGGAACCCCTTGCCGGATGGGCGTTCTCGCTGGAACACCTTCAACAGCCTCTGGGACCAGAACCAGGCCATACTGAAACACCTGCTTGGTGAGTGGGGTTGTCATGAGGCCTTGTGCTTAGTAGGTACTCAGTAAATGTCCACAAATGCAGAAGTGGACGGTTCTGTGAACACTCCTGAGGGAAGGGACTCTTCAGAAATGGAGAAGGGGTTGAGGGGCAGACCTCTGAGTACGATGGGAGGCCACCTTGCTACACCCTGTCTGGAGCACTGTGGAGGTGTGGCAGGCACCAGGGAGCCTGCAGTGCTCAGATACCTTTGAGGGTCTGCAGGGACAGGGGAGAGGAAGCCATGATTTGCTGTTTCAGTCTTCCTGGGTCTACGTTAGGAGGGCTCTCTGCTCATTGATAAGGCAAGGTGGGGAACCAAGCAAGGGCAGACAACTCTCCCTTGGCAGTTAAACAAATTGTTGCCTGGACCCTGTGTTCAACCCCACAGAAAACACCACCTTCAACTCCAGCAGCGAAGCTGAGCGGAAGACGCAGCGCTTCTACCTGTCCTGCCTGCAGGTGGAGCACATCGAGGAGCTGGGAGCCCAGCCGCTGCGAGAGCTAATTGACAAGGTGGGGCTACCGGGTGGGCTGCAGGCAGGGGGATCAAGGGGCCTTGGGTAAGAACATGACCCAAGAAAGCTTTGGGAGCCCCTGTGCTACAGGGTACACTTATGGTCTCTACTCAGATCGGGGGTTGGAACATTACGGGGCCCTGGGACCAGGACAACTTCATGGAAGTGCTGAAGGCAGTCGCAGGGACCTACAGGGCCACCCCGTTCTTCACCATCTACATCAGTGCTGACTCTAAGAATTCCAACAGCAACGTCATCCAGGTGACAGGCTGGGGAGGGACCTGTGACGTTCCCAGAGTCCCCTCCCTTATGACAGGCAGAGATCCGGTACAGGAATCCAGGTTCCTGGGTGGGGGGTTCACCTCCTTTTCTTGCCATTGCAGGTGGACCAGTCTGGGCTGTTTCTGCCCTCTCGAGATTACTACTTGAACAGAACTGCCAATGAGAAAGTAAGAAGCACCCTCAGAACCCCCATCCCTATCCCTTCCTGAGCTGGGTTTGTCCCTGTTTACTTTTCCCTTTGCCCCAACTCCTTCCTTCCTTCCTTCCTTCCTCTTTCCCTCCCCCCTTCCTCTCTCTCTTTTCCCTCCCTCCCTTTTCCCCTCCCTCCCTCCTTCCTTCCGTTCTTCCTTCCTTCTCTCCCTCCTGTCCTTCCTTCTTCCCTCCCTCCCTCCTTTCCTGCCTCCTTCCTTTCTTCCTCTTTTTCTTTCATCTTTCCTCTCATTCTCCTAGGAAAATGTTTCATAAGCACCTACTGTGTGCCGGACGCAGACTGTGTGCCGGACGCAGTGAGGCAATCCTGAGGTGTAAATTTCAGAGCCATTGTCACAGGAAGCTTTTGGCATTGATGGGTTCATGGACCTAGACAGCTAAGAATAAAGTTCAAAAGAGGGTCCCAAGGATTTACGGGAGACCTGAGTAATCAGAGAAGGCATCCTGAAGAGACAGCTCTCGAGCCAAGCCCTGTAGAATATGTAGCAGTAGATGAGGGCTTGCTGGGTGGAGAGAACAGTTTAGACAGAGTATTGACAAAGGAAAGGCTGGGTGTGTTTGGACCACAGGAAGGAGTCCAGTGTGGCAAAATATGGGGCTCAAAGCAGATGGGAGGCTGGAGAGGTGGTCAGGACCAGCTAAGGAAGGGACCTTGAATGCCACACTGCAGACTCCATTCTGTATCTCTCAGTCACTGCGTGCTCTAGAGCAGAGAGGGAATGGTCCAGTGCAAGGTGCTTGGGGAGCCCGTTTGGATGGGGTGTGTGAGGTTGATGAGAGAAAGGGAGCCAGGAGATGAGTTGAGTCTTTTCAGGACTCTAGGCGCAGAGTCAGTAAGGTACCAGATGGAGAAAAGGGCAGAGGGAATGCTAGGAAGGGGAGGATGCAAGAGATGTCACCAAATCAGAATTATGAGTTGCTGGTGGTTGGATGTTAGCAGAGGGAAGAGGTGAAGATAGGTGCGGCTGTAAGCTTGAGCGGTGGTGGAAAGGAGGGGGGTCCTTAGAGAACTAAGGGTGTCTATAGGAAGAACCAGCTTAAGGTACATTGGGGAAGGGGAGACAGTGCGATGTCCTGGGAAAAGGAGAGGCTTTGGAGTCAGCCTGGCTTTCAGTCTTAGCCCTGCTGCTAGTGCAGTGGACTAGTCTCCCCGAGGCAGTTTCTTCATCTGTAAAAGGGGGGTCATAGCATCTACCTCACACAATGTTTGTGGCAGGGTGGGGGTGCAAGCTATGCTCTTGCATATGGCAGATGCTCAGGATGTGGGGGCTGCTCATGTGGGACGTGTGAGTTCAAGGGACCTGGGCACTGTGTACAGAGAGGTCAGCAGGCAGCTGTGGGAGTTTTGTGGAGTCCTGGAGAGTGGAGAAGCCTGAAGGGAGCCAGAGGGTTGAGGGACATCTCTGTAGGTCCTCCATAGAGCAAAGGCTTAGGACAGGTGAGAGGAAGTAGGGAATAGAGAAAGGAAAAAAGGAGACGATTGTTTTTGTTTTTGTTTTTTTGAGTTGGAGTCTCAGTCCATCACCCAGGTGGGAGTACAGTGGCACACTCATAGCCACCCCAGCGTCAACCTGCTGGGCTCCAGTGATCCTTCTGCCTCAGCCTTCTAAGTAGCCGGAATAACAGGCACGCACTACCACACCTGGCTAATTTTTGATTTATTGTAGAGACGAGGTCTCAAGTTGCCCAGCCTGGTCTCGAGAGATGATTGTATTTTAAGGGCAGTAGGAGAGAGTCAGCAAAGGAGACTGTGATGGAGCAGGACAACCAGGAGTCGTTTATTCTTCTGTCATTCATTCACAAACATTTACTGAGCATTCCTTGGCCAGATGCTCCTCTAGACACATGGTAAACAAGGCATTGCCACTGCCTTCTATTGGAGGGTAGACAAGAAACAACTCGCTGCAGTTGTCTGTCTATACTTGTTGAGACTGTTTTTTATTTTTTATTTTACAATAGAAACAAGGTCTTGCGATATTGCCCAGGCTTGTCACAAACTTCTAGGCTCAAGCAATCCTCTCACCTCGGCCTCCTAAAGTGCTGAGATTACAGGCATGAGCCACCGGGTTTGGCCATTGTTGGGACTGTCATAGAGGAGAAGCATGGGGTTCCTAGAGTGAGTCCAGCTGGAAACCAACCTAGTCCTGGGTGAGGGTGGGCAACAGTGAAGGGAGAGGATTCTGCCAAGGGAACAACTTGTGCAAAGTCTCTGAGATAGGAAGTAGTATGGCCCGTTGACGATACTCAAGGGAGAGGAGAGCAGGAGGGGACAGGGGGCTAAAGCCTTCTGGCCAGAAACATGTAGACTCATATTATGGCAGGAGCGCCATGGATCCAATATAGGATTCATCCTAAAGGAAATGGAAAGGGAAAACTCAAAAGGGGTGTGAAGAGTTGTGTGATTTTTGACATCACCTAAGTCCAAGGAGGAGAGAATCTGGACAATGCAGGCAAGAACCATGTGGACCGACACTCTGGAAAGGGGGAGGCAAGAACTTTGGGTTTGGTCACTGGTAACCTTGGGCAGGAAACCTCTTGTTCTGGGGTCTGGGAAGCTGCAGTGCAAAAGGCTAAAATAGAGTAAAAACTCAGAGTAAAGCAGGGTTCAGTTTCTCCAAAGTAAGTTTTCAGCTGGAGGCAAGGAGAGAGGGAGAGAAAGGGGCAAGGCGAGATCTCTGATTGAGCTAACCATCCTCTTTGGGGCTGGGATGACTGAGATTGGTATTCAAACCTCTTCCTGATGCCAGCAGTGAGGAACAGGAGCGGTGAAATTTTGAGGTACAGAGAATGGATATTAAGAGATCTCAAACTTCTCTTAATATCCAAACTTCTCTTTTATTTCTTTTAATAAAAGCTGGGTGTGGTGGCTCATGCCTATAATCTCAGCACTTTGGGAGGCTGAGATGGGAGGAGTCTTTGAGGCCAGTAGTTTGAGACCAGGCTGGGCAATATAGCAAAACTCCATCTCTACAGAAAAAAGTTTTTTTTTAAAAATTAGCCTGGCATGGTGGCGTGTGCCTGTAGTCGTCCCAGCTACTCAGGAGGCTGAGTTGGGAGGATCACTTAAAAGCCCAGGAGTTTGAGGCTGCAGTGAGCCATGATCGAGCTTCTGTACTCCAGGCTGGCTGACAGAGTGAGACCTTGTCTCTAAAAAAATAATAATAAAATAAAAAATAAGACTTCTTGGTGAAGTGGAAGAGGAGGTGGCCTCTGTCAATGAAGAGAGTCCAGGTGGGGCTTCAGGTTGAGTAGGAGTGGTTTCTGGGAGAGGACCAAGGGCACTAAGCATGCTGAGAAGCTGTTTGCAGGTTTTCATCCCTTTATTCAACACTTTTTTTTTTTTGAGTCAGAGTCTTACTCTGTTGCCCAGGTTGGAGTGCAGTGGCGTGTGCATGGCCACCACACTCGACCTACTGGGTTCAGGTGATCCTTCCACATCAGCCTTCCAAGTAGTTGGAACCACAGGTGCACACCACCACACTTGGCTAATTTTTTTATTTATTGTAGAGATAAGGTCTCATCAAATTGCCCAGGCTGATCTCGAACCCGTGGGCTCAGGCAATCCTCTCTCCTCCGCCACCCAAAGTGCTGGGATTACAGGCTGGGCCTGTGAGCCACCATGCCTGGCATCAACAAATATTTATTGAGTACCTACTATGTGGCAGACAGCAGGCTCAAGCCTGAGACTACAATGGTGAACAGAGGAGACATACCCCTGTCCTCATGGAGCTCGAGGGCCAGCAGGAGGGAGGTCAGATGGGTTTATATTGGGCCCAGGTAGTGCCAGGGCCACAGCCCTGGGATCATCAGACTTGGGCTACATTCTCTCTGTTGTCTGCTAGTTTGTGTTGGGAGTCAGGCCGTGTCACCTTCCTGAGCTTTTCCCTCATGTGTAAAACGAGACTCATATCTACTTCATGGAGTTACTGGGGACGGGTATACTCGCATATGAAGCCTCTAACAGACAATCTGATACATGTATAGATAAATGGTCACTAAATATTTCTTTTCTGGGCTTTTCTGGGGACCAGAGGGAAGTGGAGAAAGAAGCAAGCTTGAGGCCTGGCAGGATGAGGCAGAAGAGACTCAAGGCTGCCAGTGCCCAAATTCCCCTTGGAGTTCAGTCAGGTGCTCAGCGTGGACACTGATGGGCTGGGATGTCTAGAAGGGCTTTGGGAGATGAGAAGGCAAAGCAGTGTGCAAAGCAGACCTGTCCATGGGATGAGGTTTACAGAGTACTTATCCCATGCAAGGCTCCACTGTAGGCCCTAGGGAGGATACAGTGGTATGCAGACTGCTGGCACTTGCCTTTTCCTTGGAGAAATAGACGATAAACAAGCACACAGATAAACAATGCTGGCCGATGGTGGTAAGCACTGTGTCAGAGGTGAAACTGAGTCTTCCAGGAAGGCTTCTCTAAGGAGGATCAAGCAGAAGAGATAGTGATCAGAGGTGGTGGCCAGAACGGATCCTCTCAGCATTGGGCAGGACTTGTTGCTGGGCTCTGAGAACCCCTTGGGCCTTGACAGGTGCTCACCGCCTACCTGGACTACATGGAGGAGCTAGGGCTGCTGCTGGGTGGGCGGCCAGCCTCCACACGGGAGCAGATGCAGCAGGTGCTGGAACTAGAGATACAACTGGCCAACATCACGGTGCCCCAGGACCAGCGGCGTGATGAGGAGAAGATCTATCATAAGATGAGCATCTCAGAGCTGCAGGTGGGGCAGACGGGGGACTAGAGACATCTGCCGTCTTCCCAAGGCAGTCAGTCCTTTCCTCATGTCCTTGCTTTTCTGAGCTTCCCAGCTGCACTATTGCTATTCTGGAAAGAAATGGAGTCTGATTTAAGCACCTCTCACTGAACCATCCTTTGGTCTCTTTCTTGTTGCCTGGGATACATGGAGGGACTGTGTTAACAATTTATAACAAGCCTAGGCAACATAGCGAGACCTTTTCTCTAAAAAATTGTTTTAAAAAATGAGCTACGCACCAGGTGCAGTGGCTCACACCTATAATCCCAGTACTTTGGAAGGTTGAGGTGAGAGGAGTACCTGAGCCCACGGGTTCAAGACCAGCCTGGGCAACATGGCGAGACTTCGTTTCTACAATAAATCAAAAAATTAACTGGGCATGGTGGTGCATGCCTGTGGCTCCAACTGCTTGGAAGGCTGGGGCGGAAGGGTCACCTGAGCCCAGTAGGTTGAGGCTGCGATGGCCTTGAGCGTGCTGCTGCACTCCAGCCTAGGAGGCAGAGTGAGATTCCTACTCAAAAATAAATAAATTTTAAAAAATACAAAATTAGCCAGCCTGTAGTCCCAGCTACTCAGTAGATAGAGGCAAAAGGATTGCCTGAGCTCAGGAGGTTGAGTTGGTGGTGAGCTGTGATTGTCATGATGATGCCTCTGCACTCCAGACTGGGCAGCAGAGTGAGATCCCCAACTCAAACAAACAAAACAAAACAAACAAACAAAAAATGTATGTGATGACCACACAACAATCAGAATAGAAATGGAAGCTTCTCCTGAAGGGTCCCTGCTGTGCCAGACATTAATGCCTTAGGTGTTGGGTTATGGAAAAGTTGGGGTAGGAGGGCTTCTGTGGGGGGAGGAGGGGAGCAGGGGAGTGTCAGGGGAATGGTGTTTTGTCAACTGTTAGGAAAATATGTGCATATCTGTGCCCCAGGCAGATACCATACATGGTGGGTTTCCTCGCATAGTAAGTGATCGGACTCCCAGATTGAGGGGTGCTCAGGCCTGGAAAAGGGTTTATTGCAGGAAGGAGTCACTGTGCAGCCAGTAGCTGTTGCTATGGCAATGGGAAGGGCTGCCAGGCTACAGCATATAGTAGGAGAGGGATCTACTGGAAGCCAGCCAGGCAGGCCTGAAGGCCTGAGATTTTTTTTGCTCTCAGACTCTGGCGCCCTCCATGGACTGGCTTGAGTTCCTGTCTTTCTTGCTGTCACCATTGGAGTTGGGTGACTTGGAGCCTGTAGTGGTGTATGGGATGGAGTATCTGCAGCAGGTGTCAGAGCTCATCAACCGCACGGATGCAAGGTGAGGGGCTGCCCGTGGTGCGAGTGGTGGGATTCCGGGCTCTGTGGAGGTCCTGGGCATAGTGAACTGGCGCAGCCAGACAGCGTTATGATAAGGCCGTGGACCTTCCAAACATCAATTCAGAATGTCTGAAGGTTTTTCCTCTAAGCTCGGGCCCATTGAGAACTCTGTTTTTTACACCTTGCCTATGTGTACAGGCAGCTGTATGGTCCCTGGGTAGAAGAGGACAGCTTCCACACGTGTCTCCCAGGACTTCTGCTGCCTGCATGTTCCAGAGGGCTGGTTTGGGGGTGCAGGAGGGCACCCCACTTGCCCTTTCCTAATTTTCTGGTCTGGTTGCCAGTGTCTTGAACAATTACCTAATCTGGAACCTGGTGCAGAAGACAACCTCAAGCCTGGACCGACGCTTTGAGTCGGCACAGGAGAAGCTGCTGGAGACCCTCTATGGCACTAAGAAGGTGGGCCCTCTGCCTCTGCCTCACCAAGTGATGCAGTCAAGCTGATGCTGTACCCCTTCCCTGTGTCAGGTGCCATGGGCCTCGTGGCCCACAGGGACACAGTAGGCAGCACAGACTTTGGAATCTTTAGCCTGTGGGACCTTGGACATGTCACCCAGCCTGTCTGACACTCCACTCCCTGGTCTGTAAAAGGGAATAACATGCAGGGTTGTCAGGAAGATTACCTGAGCTAACATAGATGAAGCACTTGCCCAGTGCACCATATTTATAGGCACTCAGCCTTGATGATGAGGATGGAGAAGGAGAATAAATACTGTTCCTAGTGTCAAGAGGCCCCGTTAAGTGGTGGGAAGTGGATATATAGACAAATACGTTATATTGTAGAGTGATAAGTGCACACATTGAGTGAAAGACCTTCTTTGTGTTATGGGACAAAAGTAGGATAACACATTCTACCTGGGGGGATGGTGGGGAGACCATCAGGAAAGGCTTCTCTGAAGAGGTACCATTTGAAGAATGAGTTCACCTAGAAGGCAGGGGAGAAGGGTATTCCAGAAAGAAAGAACAGCACGTGCAAATTCCTGGAGGTCAGAAGGAGCATAGTGGCTTTGCATATGTTCTGGTATAAGCTTGTGCACGGGGCAACAAAGAGGCTGACTTTGCTGAGGTAGGCATTCGACAGTCATGAAAGGACTTGAATGTTATTAAGAAGTCTAACTTTGGGCAACCCTCTCAGGTCCCCTCCTACTCTGGGAGCCTTTATGTCCTCTCAATAAATCCTGCTTTAAAAAAAAATTTAGCCCTGCTGGGCACATTGGCTCACGCTTATAATCCCAGCAGTTTGGGAGGCTGAAGTGAGAGGATTGTCTGAGTCCAGGGACTCAAGACCAGCCTGGACAACTTGGCAAGACCTAATCTCTACAATAAGCCAAAAAAATTAGCCGGGCATGGTGGAACATGCCTCTAGTTCCAACTACTTGGAGGGCTGAGGCAGAAGGATTGACTGAGCCCAGCAGGTCAAGGCTGTGGGTGGCCATGAGCATGCCACTGCACTCCAGCCTGGGCGACAGAGTGAGACTGACTCAAAAAAAAAAAAAAATAAATAAAAGTTTAGCCTTGATTCTTTCACAAATGGGAAACCATGGGAACAGGGAGGTGTAACACAGGTTATCTGTTAGATGTGGTTAAGTGGAAGATGGAGAGGGTGGCAGAGAAGGGGGAAATGAGAATGAAGTCAAGGTGTCTAGTTAAGGGGCAACTGCAATATTTGGGCAAGATACGACAGTGTTGTAGGGCAGGTGAGTGGCAACGGGAAGAAAGAGAGATGATTAAAAAGTAGAGCTGGCCGGGCTTGGTGGCTCAGCCTGTAATCCCAGCACTTTGGGAGGCCGAGGTGAGTGGATTGCGAATTGCCTGAGCCCGTGAGTTCGAGACCCCCATAGGCAACTTGGTGAGACTTCATCTCTACAATAAATCAAAAATTAGCTGGGTGTGGTAGCGCGCGCCTATAGTTCTGGCTACTTGGAAGGCTGAGGCGGAAAGATCGCTGGAGCCCAGCAGGTCGAGGC